TTATGCACAAACAATGAATCATGGAACACTTCATCTAGAACTAATGATGTAATGTATGGGGATTAACATAAGAATAAAAAAAAAAAAGCATCTGAGTCTACAAATGACAAAGGACTTAAAAAATGTCCATGATTAAAGATCCAATTAGAATTCATTACAATGTGATTGACAAGGAAATTCGGTTATTTTTGGATTACATTTTAAGATAATAACATACCAGGACATATCATATTTCTAGAAGTTTCATACAATTTCCAGAATAGTTACTTAAGTAGCATGTATCTACACAAATATAAGACAGTTTAGTATTACTTGTTTGACAATACTTCCCATGTAATTTAACATACCAAACAAGCATTAATTTCTCTCTTTAATGATGAGAAACAAAATCACTGAAATGTTCCAAGGGCCCTCTGGAACATTTCAGTTAGATTGTAGTCAAAAGACTTTATTTTAGAATTTGATTTTAGGGGGTGCCTGGCTGGCTCAGTTGAAAGAGTATGTGACTCCTGACCTCAGGGTGATGAGTTCAAGCCCCATGTTGGGTGTAGAGATTACTTACCTTAAGTAATCTCCCTCTTTCCCTAATACATATATAAGACCTTTAAATATGTAAGACCTTTAAAAAATTTTTGATCTTTGGAAGTTTATCAAAAAATATCAAAAGTTTCAAGCATTTAATTAAAGAAGAATCACAGATCATTATAAAACTGTTAAATGATTTAACCAACGTGACAATAAGAGATTTTAAAGGCAAATACAGAGGATTACATAGTTGTAAACAAGTCTTAGCTCTTTTAATATTAAGAAGACTGTCTTCTCGAATGATCAAAGATTTGATAAAAACAAAACAAAATATTTTTCTAGGCAGATTACACAAAAGGTAAAGAAAATTTTGTTTGTAATTTCTCATAAAAAGCAAACCAATCATCTAAGAAAGTTTTTCTAACAGAGAGAAAAACCAAATTCTAATTTTCCATCAGTGTTCTTTTGATATCAAAACTCACTCTTAAATATACTTATTCTAATCTTAGCTATATATAAAATTTTTCAAAGGACTTTTTTTTCATAAATCTTCTACAACTTTTATTTTTATTAATTATTATTATTATTTTTTTACACACAGATTTTAAGTTTTCCCTTTTTAAATAACTAGGCTCACTTTAGGAAAAATTATTTTTGCCCTCAACAAAAATGTATTGCCATTCCTCATACTTTTTCTTACAAAAAAAATACATCTTACAGAGTTGTTTCCCTTATAATTTTTAGCAGCTTTAGTCACATGGTAATTATAATTCTTAATACTTAGAAACGTTAATTTCTAGTGAAGTAGTAAACAACTGTAAATTGTTTCTCTAGCATTTTTTAGATCGGCAAATTTATGAATATATTTCATAATTTCTAGAAACATGTGCTTCTTCAAGTACAATCTTTTAATAAAGAATACAACATGTTTACCAGCAGACCCAAATTTTTAGTTTCTCTGGAGTAATAAGGAAACCACAAGTAGATAAACTTATGTTTATCTACTTAGATATTCAGTGAATTCAACCTAACTCATCACTTAGCAAAACTTCAAGGTTTCAAGTTGCCAGAAAGATTCGGGGAAACTATCTTAAAAGTTTACCTAAAAACCGTTTAAAATTTATATCTATTCAATTTACTTGTTCTTAACAATGATGCTTACATTACCCATAAAAACTATAGGAGACATCAAAGTCAGTTACCCTTCCAAGCTAATTATTTTTTAAAAACAGAGATAGTATCAGCCTATTTGACTCTAAGTAAACCGAGGCAGAATAAACGTTTTAGTTTTAATGTTGATAATTTTAAAGACATGTCTATTTTAATTAAACCGACAACCTTAAATTAGCTTTAACACCAAATATTCTCCCAAATCATGTGAACTTGAAAATAAGCGCTTGCCTTCAAACTAACTAAACAGGGCTCTTTTACAAACTAATTTTAGTAATACCATCCAGATGTAGAAAAATCTCACACTTACAACATATACATTGTTAAAAAGAAAACCACAGGCCCAATATGGCATTACTTAGGTTAAAGCTCCAAGTCAGTAAACCAAGACTTAATACCTAAACTAACTGCAGTTTCAACTCCCCAGGAATGTAACCTTTAACCAGACAACATGGAATTTCCTGGTCAACACAAAAAGTTTATTGAGAGACCCCTTCCATTTCCCTTAGGAGGGCAAATTGCCTACAACAGTGGATTCTTTGCAAATAACTGTCTTTTTCCGCCCCATCTCTACCTTTAAAAACAGTTCCTTTTCTGTAGTAGTTTGGAGTTCCTTTCTAATTGTTGGATGGGATGCTGCCCAATTCATGAATGATTAATAAAGCCAATTAGATCTTTAAGATTTACTTTGATGGATTTTTCTTATTTAACAATATGGACATACATACAAACATACATACAGATATAAACAAAGATCTTACAGTTTTTGTTTTGTGGAGAGAACATTATAGGCCTGATTTTTATATACCTTTTCTCGCTCTCTTTTTTTCCTTCTGGTGAGAAATCTTTTTTTGAAGTTTATTATTTCAAAGAATGGCTCTTAGGTCCTAGAGAAGAGGGGGGTAGAAAATTTATACCACAGAGGCACAAAGAAAGTACCCAAGTTTTCTCCAAGGTGGACTTTTTGGGACATATTGTCCACTTATAGAGATGCTAGCGCCTGGGCACAAGAGCCCTTTTAGCAATCTGTATTTTTATTTTTTAAGTAAGCTCCACTCCACACCCAGCATGAAGCCTATCACAGGGCTTGAACTCATGACCCTGAGATCCAGACCTGAGGGGAGATCAAGAGTCTGAAGGCACTGAGCCATCCAGTTGCCCCCTTAGCAATCTGTATTTTTAAAAGCCCTCTTCCCCTCCCTGCCTTTTTTCTTCAGCCTCAGACAATTGTGGATTGTGTTTTCATTTCAAAGACATGATAAAATTATAATTCTAAGGAACAGAGAAAGAATGCAAGTTGGTTTGTTTGTTTTAAAGAAATCTGAGATAAATGCTATTTAAAAAATTATTTCTTTTCTTAGGTACAGGACAATTTTGTTCCAATATTCTGATCTTTTATAGTATCTATAAAGCATTGAGAGGAATAGGCAAGGTTTTGAGATTGGTAAAAATAGGTGGGCTTTGACTTGTTTTTAGAGCTGATTTCTAGTTTTGTAGCGATTTTTAAGACAGACAGTTGTCTTTAATTCCCCCAAAGATTTGGATTTCAGCCTGAATATCAAGGGATGGACTTGCCTTTTTAACTAAACTTTATGTGTGTATATATATATATATATATACACACATACATACACACACCAGGGACATGTTTAACTAAAATGGGAATCAAAAGCTTTATGCCTTGGTAAACTCTGTATAAAGCGTTTTAATAAAAGCTTTTTCTCTAAGTACATAATTTAACCTTGGGCTTTTATTATATCAGGACCTGCCATCAGCCTTCCACTGATTAATTGCAGGAGGGCCTAGGAGAAAGTTTGGTCATCTGCCTCCTCTGTGAAAGGGGGCTGGGTTCAAGCAGCCTTTTGGCTTGCCTAATAATCATAGTATGAAAGAAACTTCCCTTAGCAGCCAGTCAAGTTGTCTTTGAGTGAAGTTGTGAATAGCCAACCACCTTTTTAATTCCTCTAAATTTGGTAGGATCTTTTGAAAGTGGAGGAAAAGGGGCTTTATAATTTAAAAGATCTGCTGTTGTTCAAGGGACATGAATTCCCTGTGTGTTGGGGGCGCGTTGGGGCAGGGCTGCGCCATTCAAAGATATATCTGCCAAGGTCATTGCAGAGAAATGCCTAAAGTTGGCAGAGCCTGATTACAGCAAAGTAAGCCCTACTGCCTGTCCCAGGTACTTCTGCTAAACTTTCGGTTTGGCTTCCAGCATTTGTAAGAGTAGTCTGCATACTTTGAACTTGAGATTAAGGTGGAGTACTGTCTAAAAAATCTTGTAGGGAAAGGGAATAGATGGGTCAGATTTTAGGAAGGGAAATTTACAATGGATGTAGACATTAATTTTTGTCTTAAGTCTAATTTCCGTTCTTTATCTTGTCAAGGGAGTCCTTAAGGATAGCCTTATGCTAATAAGAAAATTGAGAGCTCACCATAAAGAGTTTTTTTTAATTTAGCCAATTTTTTTTTTTTTAAGATTTTATTTATTTGGGCGCCTGGGTGGCTCAGTTGGTTAAGCTACTGCCTTCGGCT